TGTCGTTGTAAACAACCTGCTTCTCTATTTATAATTGTCTGGCCCTCTAGCAACTTCAGCGCGAAATTATAGCTAATTATAGCTAATTTCCCTACAAACGTCAGGTGGTCATAATAAACTGGCCACTCAGTGTATATAGTCAAAATAGGGGAACACTGTCTGATGTCTGTAAAACACAAATATGATGATTAAAGAGGACCTGAGCTGTGAAAGCGGGGGAGGAATGGTAACACAGATCCACAGAATCAAAGAAGCAGAAGCAGGGAGATCCTTGTACTGTAGGTCCTCAAGTACAGCTTCCTCTGCAGCAAGAAGAATACTGTGCAGCACAGTAGTGACATAACCAAATCTCATCCTAAATCTAATGACACTAACCCTCAAAGGCACAGTCCCTTAGATTATCTCACCTTGCAGATATACTGTACAGCTATGGGTCTCAGGGCACAAGGTGACTCAAGATGTGAGGGACACACGCTAATTGCATGCATATGGATGCACTCTGCTGTTTTTCAAGAGAAATTCAAAATGTAGGGTAATTTCTTAAGGGTACTGCTTAGGCACAATTACCATTTCTAGATGATCCTTGGTTTTTTGAATATTCACAATCCACAGGTTCTCCTCCTGTTTCCCAGGGCTGCACACACGCCTCTAAGCTAATTTGTTGCCCATCCGAGAGCGCTGTTTATATGTTTTTTCTGCATTTCTAGATGGTCCCTATGGCATTGCATCACTTTTTGGATTCAGATACACTTTAACAGTAATTTAGCAGAGATTTTTACTCAAGAAACAAAAACATTTTATTAAGAAAAAACAAACAGAAAAGCCACTAAAATCATTTTCACTACTGCACAACATTACTTTGTAAAAACCACTTATTTGATATGCATGTACAGTATTTTAATCATCAAGAGCATAAAAAACACATTTACCTAGCATTTCTATGTTGCACAGTTAGTCGACTTTTTCATAAGAAACATCTTAAAGTAGCATTAGCATGCTACACAAATGGGAAATTCAGTCATAAAGATACCTTAAACCATATTTTTTTTTCTTTTTTCAAAATGAGAAAATATGTCCCAAGGGGTATTTATGAAAACATAGGTTGGAAACTAGACTAATTGTGTGGTTTACAAAAAAAAAACATATACTCATGTCATATTATTGGGCCATATTTTATATGTTTTTGCCTGACTTAATCAGCTTCAGTTTTGTAAGGTGCATGTTTAAGTTGGACACAATGGACACTTGCATTTTTCTGATAGAATAGCAATCAATCAAAACTTCAGTGTCAGTCATTGTAAAAAATTTAATGACAGTGACATTGACCATTCAATCCCATGCTATTTGACTTTCAAACGTAATATTCAAAAAATATTATCTATATTATAAAGGCAAAATTATACTTGCCCCATGTCTCCCTTAATGGGCCTCATCAGTGCCATTATTCTACTTTAATGTACATTTTCCCACCTGGCCATTTAGATGTGATTAAAATTTTCCAATACACTGATCAGAGGTCTAAATTGTGACTAGGTAAGCAAATGACCACACCACCAAATCACCAGTGTTTTTTTAGAGCTAAACTCTAGGCAGCTATCAAAGACACAGATGCAGCTCAGTAATTATTAATACATTATTACATGTTTTAAATACAGACAATGCAAGTACCTAGTATTGGCCTTTTGCAGTTCCTGTATAGCAGAATTTAAGTGTGAGAGGAATAAGCGGCACAAGTTCATGTGCTGACAAGAAGCATGCTGATAAAAAGAAAATACAGAGTGACAAAGGTGAGCTCATCTCTGAGCTGCATTTATTTTAAGTCCCCATTCACACCTACCGTATATCTTTAGGTGCAATTAGGGATTCCTGCGTCAGCAAATTGTGTTTTCCTAATCTGTTGTTTATTATCGTTAAGTTAATGACCGGGTGACAGCAGTCGCTTTGGAAAGTGGCAGAACACTAGCATACTGTATGTAATTGTATGTGATATGATTACATGCAGTTTGAAATCAATTACTCTCCCTGGACACATCGACTGTGCGTCACAGGCTGGAGGCAGTTACATGACAGCCTGGGCTCAGAGGAAGTGGATTGAATGATGTTGGTCATCATTCAACCCAGAAAAATTGAGGACATCTTGTGGTTGTAAAAGAGTACGGCTGTGGATAGCTCTGAATTGACAGTGTATTAATATCTTTCCTCCCAGGTTAGCAGTTGATACAACCTTATGTTCTATATCTGCCATGAAAACCGGTCGGTATCTTTCCCATCATGGCTCTGTGCTGTTAGCAAAAAGCAGCCAGTAGCCATTATATGCTGACTTTGAGTCCCTGGAGGACTTTAGAAAATGTACTCTTGTGACCCAAAGGAGAAGGAAAGCCCAAAAAGGTTTGGGTTTATTTTTCTGAAATGTCCTAATTTCCCCCAAATTTTAATAAAGCAAAACAAAATCTCAATTTTGCTCATGCCTATTTGAGAGTTAAGGTTAAACGTTTGTGTGTTTGGTTGCATTTCAGGATTCAAGTCATAGGTCATCATAGGTCAGTCTCTGTGTTAGGTTAAGGGTTAAGGTTAGGTGAAATGTTAATGTTCAGTGTTCAGTGGCCTGGTTACAACTAACCCTCATTGATCTCTGTAGCTGCAGGCACCATGAAGCAATTCCTTCTTAAAGTATACAAAAAAGCACTGAAGTTGTTTAAATCATTCTCTAAGCAACTCATCTAATTCTGCTTCCCCCTCCCAGTAGTAACTTGGCTGCCTTCCAACCTTCTAATTGCCATTGTAAGCATAGAGCATGAGTTCTGACAAGGAGAGTGAAATGAGCGCAGTACAGCCTGTAGCTAAATGGGTAAGTGAGGGCTTGTTTTAAAGGGTTAGGTTATGTGCTGTGGGAGAGGTAAAGTATAAGGGTTAAGTGTCAGGGTTAATGTGAACTCGGTATGTGTGTTTAAGGTTTACGGTAAGGTTTGCTGTCTTGGACGTGGGGCACACACCTTATCTTTAACCTGTGCAGAAGACTACCAGCCCTGACCAACATACTAAAAAAAAAAATAGGTGCATGTTCCACCCACACTTAGGCTATTTGTTCACTTGAACTCACTATTATGATCATTTTTTGTCAATATACACTTACAGTATCAAATACAAATGTACATGGAGGGAACACTGAAAGGGGTATATACCCTTTCCCCTATTTACTAACCTTCACACAGAATTAATCACTGTAATTTATTTTCTCTTCTAATACATATATTTTCACATACATTTTTGATCTATATAATTTTATTTATATTCACTCTTATCAGGAGGTTTCTCTTAGTGATGGGGACAACATTAGAGAGAAAAATACATGTCTATAGGGAAGGTATATGGGTCCACTAGGGGAGATAGGAAAATGAAAGGTTATCTTGGGGTATTTATCCACATGGTACCTACAAAATATGAATACACATACACACATATTTGTGAATGTAAACATGCACGGCAGGATGCATGGTTTTCTACACATAAACCTAATAGCGCAATTAATTTTTCAGTACAGGCGACCCTCCAAAAACTGTTCGATCCTGAAGCGTCCTCCCTTGTGGCCCCAGGGTCCCCTTTACTGACCCCCGGACGTAGTGGTCACTTTGGGATTTTACTATCCCTGTCCACAATCGGTCTGGGCAATCCTGCTCGCATCCATAAATCCCACTGGGTGGTAAGTGAGAGGTGACTGGGTGTAGGGGTGATGATGGTGACGGGTGTCCCTCTGTCCGGCAGAGCCGCCAAGAGCACAATCCTTCCGGTGTGGGAATCTTAGAATGGGTTTATGTATTGCATTACCTAGACGAACCTATTGAAGACCAAATAATTTTGTATTAGATAGATCCATGGTCCCCTGAGGAAGCAGTATGCGAAACGCGTAGGGACTGGATATATGGATTTCCCAATCAAATATGTATGACTAACAAGATGAATTGGAGCTAGGATGCAACTGGTTTTTAATCATGTACAAGATGTTATTGACTTAGACTGTACCGCAATGAAATGTATACATATTTTTACCGTTATATCGAATATATGTACAATAGAAATTCTTTTATATATTGATCAAATCAAGTTTTGATGTTATACCTCTCAAAAAAACCCACTTTTCTGTATGTAGTTAAAAAAAAACTGAGCAGTTCCTTTTAACTCCGAACATGTTTTTGTGCACTTTTGCTGGACAAGGTAGTGAGTTTTCAAAATGTTACTGAAAAACTAACCTGTATATATTGACTTCATATATGTGTGTATATATTACTAAGCAAGATTATTAAGACCAGCTAGTGTTTAACATGATGTATGAACATGTGCACAAAGCGTGGAAGTCAAAATATTACACTGAATGACGATCCGTAGAGTATTTATATGATTTTTCTTATTTTTTCATTTATTAAATTGGGTTAATACAATTCAAATAATTGACAAAAAATAAAATGTATAGTTTTAAATATATAATTCACTGTAAGTACGTATTAGTTCAACCCCAGCTAAAATGTTATCTAGGTTTTGGATAGAGATGGGAGGATTAGAGCCTTTGTCAGATTTTTATTGGTGCCTGTGACCCCATTTTAAAGATTTCCTCACTTTTTGTGCCACTGACACCCTGACACCATAACAGGAAAGAAAGAACAGGAAATCTCCTCAAAGGTGACACGATGGCAATAAAAAATGTACATTTCTCACCCTCTTCACACCATATAGCATACTCTGCATGTGTCCCTTTTGAAGAGTTCTTCCCTATAGGGACAAAGCAATAAAAACCAAGTAATCCCTCATACTGTCCTGAATAAACAAAATAGACTGGAATTGGGTTTTATGTGTAAAGTGCAGTAGCTTTTAGCAAGCAATCAGAAATCATCTTTCATTAATCTAATGTATGATTATGTATTGCATGTTAGTAACCCTCTTGTTTTTTTTTTTCTATATCTGTTGTGTAAGTTATGTATATTAATACGTACCTTGTGTTCTCTCAGCACAGTTCAGTCCAGCTAAGACATATGAAGAGTGGTGGGCATATAAGGAAGCTGTCCAGGGGAGCTTTGTACCAGGTATTTTTTAGGACTCTGTTTCTGAATGTTGTATGTGAATGTGAAAAAATGTGTATTAATGTACAGGAGAGATTCCGCCTAGATGGGCACATGCACACATGTGGGTTGATTATTATTTAAGTTGCTACTAACCTCTAGCATAGATGAAAATCCCAAACCTCCTATAAAAAATACACACCAGAGTATAAAAGAAAACCTTACAATATTCTTTTATGTTGGTTAATTTCCAATAATATTTACATCCAAAATGTTGCAGTCAGCATGGACACCCC